AGGCGGTCACGTTCGCCGCGTGGCTCGCGGCCAACGCCCGCCGGAACGCGGCCGCGTTCGCCTCGCCGCAGCGCGGGCCGCACTCGCGCGCGCAGACGCTCACCTCGCCGCTCGAGCCCGCGCCGGACTTGGCGCACGCGTCGGGCACGACGAGCTGCGCGCTGCAGCCCTTGCAGACGCGGCCGCCGCAGACCGGGCACGTCGACAGGCGGAGCAGCGCGTTGTGCGGCACGCCGCAGCGGTCGCAGGGCACGGAGCTCAGGCCCTGCTTGCCCGTCTCGTAGGTCGCGTTCGCCGCCGCCGCCGCCGTCGACGCGTAGGACGACGCCTTCTCCGTGAACTTGGAGAACATGTGAGGCGGTTCGGCGATCGTTGGTGCCGCGCGGCGATGGAGGGCTGGGAACTCGGTTGTTGGGGATTGATGGACTATGTCAGGGGCTATCAGGTGATGCTGCAGCGTTGTCAGACAGCGGCGCGGATGGCGCCCGGCACCGTCGTCGAAGCACTCTCGATCATGGGAGGAGCAATAGACCCTATCCTCAGTCCTAGCGGCGAGGCGTGAGCGAGCCGGCCGGCACTCCTCGCCCAAAGCTGCATCTCGACGACGATCGCCGCAGGCTTGTCGTGCGCCGCCGGCGTCCGCGAAGGGGGTAGACGCGACCCGCGCGTGGTCGATAGCGTCGGGGCCGGCAGCAGAGCAACGGAGCGACGCTGCGGACGCGAAGACGCGCCGAAAAACGCCTTCCGTCCGCCGCGCCGTCGCCGACGCTCTGCGGCCGCCCCGACGACGACGAGAGGCGCGCGCGCCGCGGGACGGGACGCCGCCCGCACCCACGCGCACTTACGCGCACCCCCGCACGACCAGCGCCGTTAAAACCCCGCGCCTTCACAGGTAGTAGCCACCATGCCCGCCGCCGGGACGTTCCGCGAGGCCGAGCAGACGGAGAAGGCGTACCAGAAGCAGGATGCGGTCTTCATCGGCCGCAAGCGCGCGCTCGCGAAGAAGAGCAAGAAGGGCATGCGCTACGTGCGCAACGTGGGCCTCGGCTTCAAGACGCCCAAGCTCGCGCTCGAGGGCTCGTACGTCGACAAGAAGTGCCCCTTCACGGGCAACGTGTCGATCCGCGGCCGCATCCTCAAGGGCATGGTCATCTCCACGAAGATGAAGCGCACGCTCGTCATCCGCCGGGACTACCTCAACTGGTGCGGCAAGTACCGCCGCTTCGAGAAGCGCCACAAGAACATGTCGGTGCACTGCAGCCCCTGCTTCGAGAACGTCAAGGAGGGCGACATCGTCACCGTCGGCCAGTGCCGGCCCCTCACGAAGACGGTCCGCTTCAACGTCCTCACCCACGAGCCCGCCGTCAACCAGTCCCTCAACGTCAAGAAGGTCTTCCGCGTCTTCTAAGCGGCGGCCGGAGAAACGGCCGCCGCGCCGACGGGCCGGCGACGCGCGCGCGGGCGGGCCATCCCTCGCTCGTCGATCACCTTAAATAAAAACAACCACCTCCGCTCGGGCGTGCGGGCGCGCGTCGTCTCTGGCCTCGCGCCTTCGTGCTATGCGAAGGTCGCTCGACGACGCGCCGACGACGTCGCGCGGGGCGAGACGGGCGGCGACGACGCGTTGCCGGAGCCGTCGTCTGGGGGTTCGCGTGGGAGGAGCCCTCTGGGGCGGCGACAGCGGCTCGCCGCGCAGGCGCAGCGACGGCGACGGAGACGAATTTCCACAATTTCCAGAGCATGGAGTGCATGTCAGCGTAAACACAAAACACACATGGACGCCCTCGGCGACGCCTTGTGCGGCTGCGGCGACGACGCCGTGGAGCTCGACGAGCGCGACGACCTGCCGCCGACGCTGAGCGCCTACGTGATCAACGCCATGCAGGCGCCCCACGAGGTGCTCGACGTGCACCCCAAGGCGCCGCCCTGGGCGACGCGCGACAACCTGCGC